AGCACTATTTTCCACATAGACAGTCGATTCATTAAAAGATGAAAAGATCTGTGTAACCTAGTCTTGTGCAATGGGACCAAGAAAGGCCTTTCACTCACCTCATATGAAAATTTCCAGTTGTGAAAGCTGATCATGTCCATCTATTTTGCTGGTTACCAGTAAAGCAATCCATCAGTCTGTATGTGTGGCATACGAAGCACAGGAAAAGTGAATTTCACATACATTTTACAGTCAGTTATGTTTTAAACAACTAAAAATCATATTGCATTTTGTCAATTGCCTACCTGAGAATTCATCCTCGTTTGAAACATTTTAATTCAATTAGCTGAACTTGCAGAGTAAAATAGTAGCATATTGCTGAAAAAATGACTAATGGCTCTTAAAATTTAATTAGTGTGTATTAAATCAACAGTCATCATTTGTGGCAAGGTGTATTACAGCAATTACATTGTTACTTGTTTGCTTGCTTGTTTACATTATTTTCTACAAAAATACCGCATACCTCCTCCTTTTTTTAACAAATTAAGTTTCAAACCAAAGAAACAGTCAAGATTCACTGGGGGGTTGCCTGTTTCACTTTTTTTGTGTGTGCATGTGTGGGTTTTCATAATGTTTGTATTTTGGAAAAGGCAGGCCACACCAGCAGGGAAGACAACCAGTCCAGCTGATCAAAGAGCTTTGGCTTGAACTTAGGGCAAAAAGGAGAGCACATCACCTTTGGAAGAAGGGGCAAGCAACTCTGGAGGACTACAAGGTTGTTGTGAGGTTACGCACGGAGAAAATTGGAAGGGCCAAAGCCCAACTAGAACTTAGTTTGGCTACTGCTGTAAAAGACAACAAAAAATGCTTTCTACAAATTCAACAGCAACAAAAGGAGGGCCAAGGAGAATGGGCTTTAAGGTCCCTTCCAACTCTAATCATTCTATGATTAAGTACATCTTCTGGTGAAAGACAGAAATTATGTGCTCCTGTGAACCACAAGTTGAGCAAGAATACACAGTCAAAAATGTCAGAAATTGCACACACTGATTTTCAGATATTATCTAATTCTGTCACAAAGATGCACATTTCTTTTCCTTAGAAGAAATAACAACCAAACAAAACCAGGCCAATTACCTATTTTCCCTCAACTACCCCACAAATTCATATTACTGCAAATATCCTGCTACTGTAATTTTAATACTTAATCTAAAACAAACCATTTCAACCTTCCTACTCACACATCCATCTATTTTTCTGAAGATCATCTTCATCTCTCTAAATTTCTAAGGGAAGCTTTCGTAGGAAAAAACTCTTCACAGACAAGAAAGATGCACAAGTACCTTCTATTTACTGCCAGACAAACTTTCATTCAGGATTTCTCCATTGCTAAAGACAAAACCTCTCTTTCTACACATCAAGGACAGTAAGCAAACCCGTCACGTACACAATCCATTCCTATCACACTACTGAGTAATTAAAACCAGTGTGTTGAGGCAAATAGACAAAGGAGATTGATAAAGATTGCATTAAGATCTCAAGCTTGGCATTTGCTAAATTCTGAAATCTTGGTCTTGCAAACTTAACAACTGTAATGAAATTATATTCAGTAACTGTAATGAAATATAGCTTGTCCCAACGTTTCTGGTAAAACGGCCAAGAATTGGAGCTGTCCAGCAACAGTTCTTGGCTCACTGAAGACAGGCAGAAAACCAGGCAGCCACAGATGAGAAACTCAGCACAAGAAAAACCTTAAAGCTTGTGTATTTTATCAGATCAGGTAAAAAAAAAAGAGGTCCAGAGTAACAACGTAGCTTGCACAAACTTATGCACAGCAGTTTTGTCTATGGCACGATCCAGAAAATGCCAGCTGCTTTTGTCAGGAGTACAGAAACAAACCAACACCTTCAACCTCACAAACACTAAAAATATATATTTAAAATAAGGATATGATCTCAAGATAGCTGGAGGATATGCAAAGCACTGAAATCCAGCAGGCTGAATTTGTCCCTAGTGCTCAGTACATGCAATTTTCCTTAATCTAATGGACAGATACTTTGCACTAGGAGTGAATTTAAATGCATGGCTATGATGTGTAAAAAAGCTTTTGTTCTACAACAAAGAAGGCATCTGCATCAACATAATTTATGCAGCTGTACAAATTTTTAATTCAGCTTGATTGCTGTTTGTTATTTGCTGAAGTGAAAACTCAATAAATTTACATTCTGCTGCCAGTTTTCTCCCAAATACTTATTTCTACCTCTGATAAGAAAGGTTGCACTGGACAAGTGCTCTCAGTCGTACTTACTGAGAATCAATGATTGAACTAAATTACATACTTGTAATTTATAAAGTTCCTGAGGATCTTCTCTGTCTCACACTGGAACAGTAGCATTACTTAAATAAAAAGCATCCAGTGGGTATTTGGCTCTGCCCAGAGGATACTCCATCTTCTCATACATCTTCACTTGTTGAAAGAGTCCATAATAATGTGCTTTATTAATCAATTTATCAAACCTTTAAAAAGAACCAGTGCTCTGCTCTCTGCACAGGCACGTAGCAAAACCATTGGCCCTAGAGACTGGTTGAACTGTACCAACACCAATGAACTCATCATTCTCTGAGAGCCCCAAGTAAATCCAGATGGGAAGGGAGTTTCCCTGAATCTGCAAACCATACTCCTCACATCTTTTCATTGAACTAGTGAAGTACCCTTGAAAAAGAAAGCAAAAAGAGAATCCAGCTTTAGCTGAACTTTTAAGTTTTTACAATAAACAATTGGGCTAAGGCTAAAATATCTTTTTACTGTGGTACAGAAGACAGTCTTCCTTCCAATGTCCTCCTCCTTCCCTCTTTGCCTTTTTTGTTTGTATATGATGATGTTAATCACAGACTTTTCTAAAATTGCTAATCAGTAACACTATTCAGTCTTGTTAAGCTATAACAAAAGCATGGTACAATTATCTGCACTAACAACAGTGTGATATGACTGATCAGTATTTGTCAGATAATTCCGTGAAGAGACAAATGAGCATGTGTATGGGGGAGGGAATAAACCAGTATGTAGCTAATCCACAGGACTGAATCTGTGAGTATAAGGTGGTAGAGGACAGAACGAAATGCATTGCCTTGCCTATTTAGAAATCTGATGTATTTGGCAGGGGTGCAGCAGCGAAGATTCTAAATGTGAGTGGATATTACAGCCAGAACTCCACTTCCTTTTGCATTTCTGAAACAGTGAAATCACATTCTGGCTTAACAAGATACAGTATATGTAACATGGGCTCAGACTTGTGCTAGCCCAGTTCTCACCAACTTCAGTCCTTGCCTGATGTTTCTATTAAGAACAGTCCAACTCAGCACAATGAACTGTAACCCAAAATCCACTTGCAGCATGAGAATGTAAATACATCTTCACACAGGTCAGTTCATCGGCTGCTTTGGGTCAGGTACACTGGTTTCAAAGCTTTTAACAAGTGTAAACAGAAATGAAACAAAGGAAAAGAATGGATGAAAATTCTTTCTTTTGCAAAATATCACAGAGAATTAAATGAAAACAGAAACCCTGTGTAGGAGGAGGAATGGAGTGTAACTCAGAGGACTGCTTCATTTGTTTCTGCACAGATCTCCCATGCAACCCCAGGTCTCACATTCTCTTTTCTGCAGATATTCAACTGCATAATGCAAACAATGATCCTTTCATCACCCTTGTGTCGGAACAGCAGAAACCCTTGAAAGCAGTCTGTTACAACTCTCTCCTTAGTGCCCAACACAAAGGGTACCGTGAAAAAAAACCAAACAAAATCACCCTCATGCAAACGGTGCAAAATGAAAAAAAAAAGGACTCTAAACCTTTGCCAGCTCTGGAAGAAGTAATCTCTGCAAGAATATGAGGATAGATGGGTTTTGACAAGTTATTTAGAAGACTAACTCATAATTGATGCAACACTGTATTAATTTTTCTTGCTACTCTGTAGCAGAGAAAATGCCATCATTACAACAGGTAATCTATATCTTAAAAATTGCTACTAAATCTCTGATTAAGTTACCCAGCAACATAAGTGAAGCCTTGATATCACGCTAAAAGCAAATGCAAAACTGATCAGTTTTTCTTCTGTAATTACCTATTTAACAACTGTAAATAACCTGCATGTATTGTGTCTACCTGTCACTTAAATATTATCAAAATACATCATTCTTATGGTAGGTAATAAGAAGTTTGTAACTCAGATAAATATTACTTTTATATACCTGTATACTAAAATAGACCTGTTCATAGCTATTTTCAGGATTGATTACATGTAGCAAATCCATAAAGAGAAGCCTCCTAAAATGGCCAAGTACATCAAATTCTTTTAAAAGCCAGATTAATTAACAAGTACCATTATGCCTGAGCCCCATGCCACCAATGGAGAAGCTAGGTTTTTTTCCTAAAGTCAACAAGGTAGTTTTAATCTTCAAACAAGTAGGCAATTTAGGAGCCAAAGTAACAATTAAGACTGCTTAGGTCTTTGCCTTAGGTCCCAGATTCTTACTGGTGTATCAGTGCCCATTTCCCATTCATTTCAGTGGCACAGTTACATAAATATTTACATAAAACTGGCTGTAAATACACCTGAAGGTGTCCTCACAGAAATTCCAGAAAACAATTTGCTGACTTTAAGGAGCAAAATAACCCAGTGACAACAAGTTTCTCATATGTTGAATACAAGGATACATTCAAAAATAAGTTTTAGTCTTGTAATCTATCTCAAAGTTGTTGAGCTGAGTCCAACACCGATTTCCCACTGAAGCCAATAAATTCGTATCACCTGGCCCATCAAAGTTTCCTCCTGAAAGAGATCATTGCAACTCATTTCTCAGCACTAAAATGCTACTTACATGTCTATGTAAATCATTTAACTATGGAATGCTGTAAAATGACATTTCTGTAGAGTATTTATGCAATATCTGACAACTAACTGCTTCAGTAGTCAGATTTTCTTATTAACTCTAAATACGTAATGCAAGATAAACATTACCTTGACTTTCTTCCAGCTTCCCAATTGTTTCTATCTGCTCAACAAGGTCATTTGAGTTCCACTGGCTCATGCCTATGAGAATGGCACTTTTTCCTTCCACCATCTCTTCTGTAGGAGAAAAAAGGAGAACAGAATAAATTGCTGTGACAAGCAACAGAAAAAAGACAGGGTGAGAACCAGTAATTGAGACAGAAATAAACACTCAGTATAGCCCCTAATGGGAATAGATAACAGGGTACCATATGCAGGACTCTCCAGGAAAGCTTTTTATCTACTCATATGCTCTACAGGAAACCTGTATGCTTCATATATTGTGTGTAGGAAAATGGTGGAAAAAAGAGGATCGAATTTTTTTTCTTACCTTGAGCAGTCACTTAAAAACAAAGTTTATAATAATCAATTTGAGTGTTTGAGTGGCTGGTTGGTTTTGTTTCTTTTTTTTCATTTTAAGAACATTCAAAAGGCAGAGCAGAGGGCAGAGTGGACACACAGACCAGTTTAAGACTTTTCAAGAATGGGACTGGTTCTCAGTGCAAAGAGACTTCCACAGACTGAAATGGATTTCAAGGGCATGAATTTTCATGAGAAATGACACAATACTGGAGATTTTTGGTTTGCCTCCAAAACACAAGCCACCATTCTTATGGTTAAAAAAAGCAAATAAAATATGTATCTACAGACATACGCCACACACAGCCTCTCCTCCAAAATCTCAGTTACACATCAGCTTTGTATCTATGACAATTCACATTCCCATAATAATGAAGGATCATCTGAGTACCAGCTGCAGTGTCTCTGTGCCTACCCACTGACAATAAAGATTACAAGGGACAAATGAGCTTATATACCATCCATATTTCTTTCCTCTCTCTGTGCAGACAGCTGGAACATCCCTGTGCTAAAAGCCTGTTTCAGATAAGACAGCTGTTTGGTTCAGAACAAGGATAAAATAATCAGTGTTCAGCAATGTATTTTCTGAAACACAGACCCGTGCATGCACACACACAGAGCTCAGAGCTCTCTTCAAACGGAGATGGATTGCTAAATCCCAGCTCAGAAGAGCAGATCTGAGCTCATTTCAGGCTGGCCACGAGCTGGCATTGTGACATCAGATAACATGTAGTCAGGCTTTTGTGCCTCAGCCTCCCTACAATTTTTAAAAAAAAAATCTTTAATTTCTTTACCATTCTTTGGTCACTTATTTCTTTATTTTTCTGTGGATTGCTTCTTGATTCTCAGATACAGAACCCTTTATGCCAACGGAGTAGTTACTATAAGCCTAGTTATGTAGAAACAGGTAATTAAAAACAGTATTTGAGGAATGTCTCATGTCTCAGACTTCAAAAAGGCTCTGAACTGAATACATGCCATATTAATACAGGCAATAAATGAAGAAACTACCACAGGACATCCTTTCAAATTAAGTTAAAAAGAACAATTGCATCTCTTTCTGCACAGAGGCTGTAGTATACCTGTAGAGCCAGGTATTCATTTCTAACTCTGGTAAATCAAGATGATACAAGCATGTTTCTGAAAGAATGTGAAGTCCACAATCAATTTCACTGATTCTAGAGGCAGCAGAATCCATTAAATCATTTCTCCAGACTTCCTGAATAAACTAGATCAAATAGATTTATCTTGCTATATCTGATCAACCAAACACAAATCATTTGACTTTCTTAAAAAACATTATTCCAGTATCTATCTCCATTTAGACCTGCCCAAATTCAATGGACAGTTGTAATGTTCTAGGAAAGGCTGAAATTTGGTGCCAAGTTTTCTAATTCAGTTTTATTTTGAAAAGTTTTCTTCCGTTGTTTAATTGAGGTTGTTGCCTACTGGAGAGGATGGTGATAAAAAATGTGAGCAGCTTGTATTTCAAGTTTAAATTTGCCATAAGTTTTATAACTATAGAAGGCAGAAAGGAAATTGGAAAATAAGTGGTTCACCATCAGACAGACACCATCACTGGCAGATAAACTGAAGTCAAGGCATCCTGGATCCAAACCTGTACTTTGAATAATACACAGTAATAATCTGATTAATATTAGTTATGTCTCTGGAAAAACAGCTTGTTTAGGAAAATAATATTACAAATTCAGCTTTGCAGAAATAAATCAGTCAGTTATCAGTGAAGCTGATGCACAGCTTCCAAACCACTCAGAGCACAAAGCTGATGCCCCCATGAAGCTGTTTGACTTTCACTGCCTACCTCCCACCCTCTGCATTTTTAAATTAACTAAAAAGCTCCTGATATAATGCTGAATTTTCACACAAGCTTCTGTCAGCATGAAAACACAAGAATTGGTCATCAACCATTCTTGCAACAATTCCACACACAAAGAAAATTACAACATGCTGAAAACTGAAGTTCACTTCAAGACAGCAGACCTTCAGTGCCAAATACTGCCTTAAAAACACCACAAATCCACCATGCATCTCCAGACACCAAATCAGCACACAGAAATGAGACAGAAGCCAATGTGGTCCTATAAAATAAAACTAATTTGCTCAGAAATAGGTCTCATTCAAGAGGAACAGAATGTGGGGAATGGAGGGGATTTTCTCTCTGCACCACAAATATCACCAGAGGGAGAAATTGAATGACGATCATAGTTATGCAAACGTTTTTGCACTTAGACATCAGCAGAACGTCTGCTGAATGTGCTATTAATGAAGAAACAAAATAAAAAGCACTTCCAAACCCAAGCTAAGTTTCCCATAGGACAGTTGAGTTTTCCCACTTTGGACTGTGTTTACTTTACACTAGAAAAGAAGTGTCAACAAACATTTAGGGAGGGGAATCACTTTCATTTTCATAGAATCATAAAATTGTTTGGGTTGTAAGAGTCTTTTACAGATCATCTAGTCCAACATCTCCTGCCATGGGCAGGGACATCCTTCACTAGATCAGACTACTCAAAGGCAGACTTAATGAATGCAGTTTGCTACAAAAGCCAAAGGAGACTCAGCAAGTTCATTCCATAACCCTTTACTGCTGACTTACCAGTAAAGACAGCTCAGTCTGACCTCAACAGCCTACACTATGAAAGATCCTACAGTTGGATTTCACAGTAGTAGCAGAATTAATCCTCCCTTGCTGATTATTCTCTTCAGAAAAAGCAAATGAAACATGTCAGAAAAGCATTAGATCTGGTTCCTGCAAACAGAACCAAAACCAGAGACCTAGTCTCCCACTGGAAGTGGGAGGCTATGTATATGCACAGAATCCACAAACTCTTCTCCCACTTCAGAACAAAACTTGGTGTATTACAGAGCATGTCCAGAATCAGGGTCTTACAGGGGATGTCAGGAGTGCTGCAGGTACCTCAGTTGGTCAGAGCATGTTGCTAATAATGTCAAGGTCATGGGTTAGATCCCCATATGGGCCATTCACTTAAGAGTTGGACTTGATGATCCTTGTGGTCCTTTTAAACTCAGAATATTCTGTGATTAAATCCACAAGCACTCAGATTATCACTCCTTGAACAAGCAGAGGTCTCAGTCTGCCCAGGGAAAATTTTGACAGAATGGAAAACCTAAGCCATTGGTCTTAAAAGTTGGCCATCAGTAACACAGACACTCATGGCCTTCATCAGAAACTGTGAACAAGTGAACTGTGAACTCCAGTTGTAACCTCACACTCTGCCTGATCTGCCAAGGAGCTGGACCGAAGAGACTCCATAAGGTCTGGGCTGGTGCAGTCCTGCTGCTTCTGACGTCAGCCTCAGTTCAGGGCAGCTTGCTCATGCACCCCAGCACCTCATCCAACTCCTGCAAATTTAGGCCCATTCATAAATTCTGAAGAGAAGATCTGATGGGGTTTTTTGTCTGATGAGGACAATGCTGTCAGTGCACCTCCAAAGGAGCTCAGTTACTTGTTGCAAAATTGGGGAAAAAAATAGGAAGGGGAGGACAAAAATGTGCACTGACCTCGTGCATCGAAGAATTCATCATCGGAGCTCTCCACGGAGTCCCTGAGGACGCTCTGCATGTGCCGCTGGGCACCAAACCGGCACGGGGCAGCTGGAAATACAGAGAGACTCACATTAACCCAAGAGAACGCTCACCTCTGCTCCAGAGAAAAACAACAACCCAATGCAATAATGACCAGTTTGTGTACATGGCTCAGGAGGATCATTATGGTCATCACACAAACTTTAATCTCAATAGTCACCCAGCCAGAGCTCTCAGGATGGCACAAAAATACTTCCACCTAACAAAAGTGATTAAAACAAGTTCTTGTTAAAGATAAGTCTATTGCTTTCACCTAATGCAGCGACCTCAAAAGATAAATTCTTCCCTGTTGAATTCATCTGGCTGTTCCATTCCAACACTCAAACTGCATATTGTTTCTAAGACATGAAGCAGCATTTCCCCAGGACATGGCAGTATCTCCATTTAAATTCAATTTCACTCCTAAAAGAAGTGTCATCCTATTTAGCTCACAGATTTGCAGACAAACTACTCAATTCTCACTCACTGAGCTGTTTTCATCAGAGAGCTTTGCTGTGCTGGAGCCTGGGGCTTTCATTCGAAGCTTCCACTTGACAGCAGACAGGAAGGCAAAACCGCTTTAGAATTAGTACAGTAACAGATATGGTGACGAGAGCGTAGATGGTCCCAACGGATTATCATACTCAAACTATATGAGTTCTCTTTACATCTACAGCAACCCAACACTAGAAAGTTGTAGTGAAATATATTCCTTCTATTAACAACAAAGTCTCCCCACAATCAGTGGGGAACCAGGCATCAAATCCACCATACCCCTAACAACACTACTGTAGAAAGGACACTCATCACCCACCTAATCTGTGTCCTTGGTTTTATGCATTTCTGCAAATGATGCCATCAGATCTGAATCTAATATCCAGAGCCCCTGGCCACAAAAGCATTGTTCTTAGTAGTAAAATAGCAACTCAAGCAGTGGATGCACCTTCTATACTATTCTGTGGAAAACATGCCACTAGGTCCACAGCCTTTTGTTCTTCATTTATTCCACCTATAGCTGAATTAATCAGAAATATAAGTGAAGAGTGGTAAGAAGAAGTAGATTTTAGTTGGCCAAGAAGAGAGTAAAAATAAAAATCAGTTAATAGTATCTTAATAGGGTAAAAAAAAAATTGGTTATTAAGGAGTCAGGATTCATTACAAGAGTACGGTGTGTGTTGGGAATGTGTCCAATGGTATCTGGCAGCTACTGGAGAATGCATACCGACCACTGCACTTACTGTTACAGATTTCTGAAAACTTTTACTAATCACAGGAAACTGTACACTGAATTATTCCTTACCGAACAACACCTTGCTGTCCCTCCATTCAGATACATATCTATCCTAAAATGTATCACCACAGTCTTCAAAATAGTGGTAGAAAGAACACTTATCTGAACTTCTAATGAAGACAAGTCTGCTTTGGGTCAATGCTTGGAAGAGCAGTCATTCCAAAATTGCAAAAGCATAAGATGGAAGGGAGGGAAGATGGGAGGCGGAGGGAGGGAGGGAAGGAAGGAAATATAAATCTAAAATTGTAAAGACTTCAAAAGTACTCCAAAACAAACAGCAATTCCCTGGTGAAAAACTGCCACTAGCCTGGCTGGAAATCAGTAAAAGTACTGTCCCCCCCAAACAAGCTCATGGTTCCAGGGACCTTGGAGTTCAATGTGCAATGTAACAGGAGGACAGGGAAAAGTGTCACAAATATCCAGGTATAAATTCTGGCTATGAGAAGAGCCCTTGGAAGCATCAGTTTTATTATTATTTGCACTAGGAATGCTTCTAGATTTAGAAGCAGCTTAAACATATCCACAGTCAGCAGCACAAATCTGCGTGATCCCACCGCAGCAGCTCTCCACATCTACATGGATTTGCTGGCTGGACTGCATTGCACTGCCCTAATACATTGGTCCTTGTAGAGTCTGCTTCATTTTGTGCCAGTAGATTAGCATTAGACAGCTTGAGAAGACTCTATTAACATTTCTTGATTGCATTAGACACTGACATTGCCTGGACTCACTGATTTGATTTACAGTGTCAATTGCTGCATATTTTATTTTATTATTTTTTTCAGAGAATGAAAAGACTTGCCCTACTTTGAAATGCAGGCAAACTCCTTGGTAATGACACTTGATGCTTCTTTGGCAGTGAACTTACTCTTTATCAGATCAGTCAGCTGATTCTTAGCAGCCAGATGTCAGCAATTTTTGCACCCAGGGTAGTAACTTTCATTTAATTTCAGTTGTTTAATTTAATTTAATTTCAGTTGTTCAGTATCACAATTTCTAATGATAGAAGGGGACTGCATGAAGAAATACTTTTAACCAAAACCACTAATGACAGAGTCACAACAGTAGAAGCACATACAGCAGTTCCCCACAGGCTGTTGGGGCAGTACAGCAGATGGACAGTAGGATACAAGGGGAACACTTCCAAGAGGCAGAAGGAGAGTCCACAGAAATGCACAGGTGCTTCCCTTCTAGAAGAAGCAGAAGTGAAGTTTCCTACCTAAGCTGCTCTCTCTGCACAGAACTGTTGTGACAGTCACCTGTGACAGAGGGAGCTGGCAGGGGCTGGCCCTGAGCACACAGGAACAACTGCAGAGAGGACAGGAGCAGAGCATCCTGCAGCACCATGCACAGAAACTGAATGCTCTAGTTAGGCTAGTATTGTAATTATGATTACAATCAGTGATTTTCTTCTGTTAAAAAAGTCTTGCTTTTTCTTCTTCAACAAAGAACAGCTGGAATTTCACTGGTACTTTGCTGCATCAGTGACCTGGTGACATGAGATGAGGTGCTATGATGCATGAGTAAAATGCAATGGTGGAAAACAGTCTTGTTTTGTCCTGCACTAATTTTTTTAATACTTCATTTTTTTCTGTGGTTGATGTTATCGTATCTACCCGAAGACAACTCTTGCAGGACCCAAAGAAAACAATAATCCTACATGTATACTATTCCATAGTATATCCATCATGGATATGCCAGATCGGGGTTTGTGATTCACCATATTCCACAATATACCCCAATCTCACAGTAGCTGCCATTAATTAGCAATTTATACAAAGCCACTTCTGAATGTTGTTGAAAAACAATCATTTAAAGTAAGATTTTTAGATTTACAATATGTTCATTAGCCAATTTACCCATGTTAGCTATTGATTTCCTTACCCTAAGATGTATAAGTAAAGATCATAACTGAAAGCTTTATCCTGTACAGAACAGCTTCCACGAGGGTGAGAGCCACAGATATGATCAGCTGCATCCTCTTGTGATAAGTAGCAAAATAGCCAGGATCTTACTTGACTGAAAATTGCTACAGAAATAGTCCCATGTTCTATTATGTGACACTCGCACTTCCGGTTGAAGGCAAGTCAGACTGCACCTCTATGGATGGCATCCTAATTCAGATGCAAGGCAAATTTCATCCCTGGTGTTTAGTGACTATACATAGTTCCAGCAAACAGTAGAAGAAACAGTTCCCACTCACATATCCGCAGCTTCTAATGCTGTCAGTCCAGAGAAGGAACAACCCACTATGATGGTGCAATCTCTGATATGTTCCACAAATAGACCTAAGGAGCAGAACAGCCATGAAAAATGCCAATTCACCCACAAACACCAGCAGAGCTCATTTTATCATAGTTCCATAAGAAATCAACAGCAATTGAAAAGTATATGTAAGAGAAGAATTGTCTCTAGCTTCTCTTGGTCAGGAGGCATAAACTCAGATTCTTTCCAAAGGCGCCTCTTTTTTTTGACATATTAGCAGTGATATGACAATTAAGTAGTGCATGAGCACACTTCATCCATGTGATTATGAGGGGGATTCTAAAAGAGAAAAAAAAAAAACACAAGAGGAATTAAAGTGATTCTACTAGTCTGTAGCCAACATTCTCAGCACTAAGGAAATGGAAGTAGAAAAACAGGTAAGAAGTGAGGTAAGGCCTAAGAGACTCTGAAAAGCCCTCTAAGAAACAAAGGTCTTCCTCTGGCAACTGAATAGCTAACACTGGTGATTCTCAACTCTAATTTAATCATTTTCCTATATCCTTTTAAAAGGCCTAGTGTCCAAAACACGCTCATCCTGTAAGTCCCAAGCATCCTAAGATGGAACAGCTCATCACTGTCACTCAATAATTCTGGTTCTGCCGCCTTCTCATCTTGAAACAGCTTTTAAAAACACTGACTGCAGCTGAAAAAGAAAACCACAACTCGAATCATCACCATTTACAGTAGAACTTCACCAGTAGGACCAGCACAAACACTTAGGGAATGAAAGAGCAATGACTTCATTCCTGAAGCATATTTGTGAGGGCAGAGTAGCAGCACAGTAAGCTCAGTCCAGAAGCACCACTGTAAGAGTCACTCCAGCATGTCCCTCTTCTCCTTACCGATGCATGGATCACTGGTTACTTTGTCAGGCAAACAGGACAGGCAGAAAGCAAGCAGGCTGATCCAAATGCCATCATACCAGCCCCTCGTGCACTGGTAGCATCAGTAGTGCGACAGGCTGGTCCCAAAGACCAACCTGGTTCAGGTGTGCTCACACTGGATCTGCCAGGAAGGTTCAATTCAAGCAGCTTGAGATAAGAGCAGCATTGGATGTGATTACAGCAGAGGGCTTTACTGGAAAACTAACTCAACACAATTTACTTCACTGTCACATTATCACACATTTCAAGCTTTGCAGCAGGCCCAGCTTTATCCTGCATCTTTTGCTTGGTAACAAACATTTGCCAATCAAGCCTAGATATAAGCACATGCCAGACACAGGCAATCATTAAAAAAGCACTCCTGAATACTATCACCACACCAACCTAGTTAGACACGAAACAGCACACAGTGTTCTCACACCTACTGGAAACCAAGTCTTTTACATAGTAAAGTATTGAGGACTGAATTAATCTCAACAAAATATAATAAAAAAATAGACTCTGTTGCACAGATTAAAACATTTCCACTTGTCAAAACTTGTTTTAGAACTGTGACTACTTTGAATTCAGGGACAGTTTTCCCAATAAAATTAAAAAACACAAGTCATTTTTCCATTTGGAAAGAGATGTTGGGTAGAAGGAATGACCTTCGCTGTTGCCAGTGACTGCTATTGTATAATAATACTTCTTTCCATTCTGATGGTTTCAGATGCTTCCTGCCTACCCATTAAGTGATTTAACTGAGCTACCCACACAGTGTTACCTAGTGACTACACAGTTAAGACTTACTGGAGGCCAAAATCACCCACTGTATATTCTAGTTACATGCTTTATTTGTTCTCTGGCAAATGTGAAACTGAAGATGTATATTACAAGGATGTGAATTTAACTACTGGAGGAACTCCTCAGACTCAGGAGCTCAGGCAAGACAGAGATGCAGATCCTTCCTTCAATAATTCCAGAGTGAAAACTAACGTATGGTCAGAGAAAGCCCTCGCCTGCACACAGAGCACCAAAAAAGACAGACCATACACTGACATCATTGATAGTAGGGCCACACAGAACTCGTCCAAAATCATACAATGAACCTGCAGCAGAAACTGGAACTTAAGTGAAATCAGTTGAAGTTGAAATGAAACACACTGCAAGCAGAAAGGGTTGAGGGGGGGTGCGGAGTGGGATGCCTACAGAACTGTGACCCTAAAGGGAGAGAGGGAGAAAAATAACCATGAGAGGTAAGAGGGAGGTCGAAGAGAGAGAGCATACAAGGCCAAGGGGGATAGAGAAGAAAAAAGTAGAAGGCTAAGTCAAGATGTCAAGTTCTCTGGTCAAAGAGCGCAGCTGACAAAGCCAGAGACATAGTTATAGACAGAAAAAAGTCCACACAAATTGCAGGTTCCCTTGTCAAGAAACGAAAGGGCTAACTGATGGAACAGTCTGGAAACCACTGTGGTCAAAAGTGCGCAACACAACCAACTCCTCTCTCCCATTCCTCATTCAATGTCTTTCGTCTCATAGCAATTCCACAGTGACAAGTCTCTGGTTACCTACTTTGTACATCCTTCCACTGGCAATTCTGCAGCGGATGGTAAGGACAGGCATGTATTTGCATATTAAGTAAAGAAATCAAGAAATTAAGCCATGCAGGCCTTTAAGGCCCTATTTTAAGGTATCAGTGAAATTTCCAATCTTGCACTCTCTGGGATTACTAGTGAGGTGGAGGAAGCGAGAGAAGAGGTTTACCGTGGCTGTTCAGGCTCAAAATCCTAGATAGAGCTTTCCTGTAAATGTGGTACATCTCCCAGAGCTGTTTCTTGATGCTTCAGATATCAGCTCTCCCTCAGCAGAAATTAACTTCACCCTCCCTCTCAGCAGCATCATCACCTCCTCCAAACTGACTCCCCAAAACCAGAGAAGATATGAATATTCTCTAACCTTTTCCTGCAATGACTGTAGGTGGACTGCCTGCATCACATCTCAAAGACTACTTTCATAGTGCAGAGATTCTGGCTTTCTGAGGAGGATCTGACATTTTTGAGTCACTGCTGTCTGTTAAAATAGAAGTAGGAGATAAAGAGCAGATATCCCCCCCATTCCTGCAGGGACATGTCAGGTCACTACCATCAGGACTATCATCTGCAGTTGTGTCTGGTAGGTTTTACAACCTACAATCTTGCAAATGTCCAAGCACTTCTGCACAGGAACTACTCCAAGTGCTTAAGATCTGGAGTTCACTAGGTGAGATCTGACTACTCAAATGAGTCGAGCATGGATCATGCCTAAAAGCCCTTTACAGGCACACCTGTCATTCAATAGTGATCAAACAGCAGATTTTCACCAGACTTGTGATCTTTCTTTCTGAGATAAGGCTACAGCACTGGAAGGAGCTGCAAGGCAGGGTTCATACAAGCAAAACAGACACAACATTTCTATCTTTGTGCATATTCCAGCTCACATTGATAAACTCAGTAGGCTCCATTTATAAAAGCAGCACATTTCCCCTACTCCTAACGCAGATATGTTCTGCCAGACCTCCTTTGTGAATGGTTTATTTTTGCTTTACAATAAGAAGTAGTTACAGTGTCACAAAGCTGGCATCAAAAGACATATTTTGTCTACTGAAGTCAGTGGAATCACATCCAAGACAAGTACCATCCTTTAAAATTCCTGTGCAAAGTTAGGCTTGAACACACAAGCTACATACGCAGGCTGCATTACTCATGTATCACAGAAAGCCAAAGCAATGCCCCCTTATTTTCCTATCAAACTTAAAAGGACTGGTAACTAATGCCAAAGAAAAAACTGTGAGACTTTTCTCTCACTTTTTTACTTCTTCATCTTCCAAAGATGGAAAACAACCACTTAGTTCAATCCTATATTTGCATCTTCTGAAATTATTGATACTCTCATGTTCCTGAGTGTTATGTCTCTGGACTGCCACCAATCCATGCCTATTTTGGGGGAATAATAAAAAAAAAACAAAAACACTGCTGGAAAGAACCCCTTTGGGTTTAGCTTTAATAGTGCCATGCTGCTGTAAAGCTGTCCCAGAGCTGGCACCAAACACCAGGTGAGCGTCACATACTGACCAGTCAGACATAGCAGTTAGGCCTTCATCTGCAACAGCAATGGGCTCTGTGCAGAAGAAAACCACTTCTGCATCAGCAAGTGGACTCTCATCTGTTCTGCTGGTTGTCACTGGCCATTCGTGCACACCCAGGATATGCCACCTGTGCCTGTAGGCTGCACTGGGCACGGGGCATCAGGGTGCTGCTGCTGCTGCTGCTGAGCATCCCCAAGCCCTGGTCCCAGCTCCAGCCAACCGACCTCCGCATTGCTCAGGCTCCGGAGGAAGCGCGAGTTACAGCACGTGAACGGGCAAAGCGCAGCCTTTGCCTTTCAGCAAGTCCCACCCAACAGCATACCTTTATTGTTCTCCGACCGCGGCTGCTGCCTCCCGCTCTGCTCCTGCCGGGCAGGTGGCACCGAGCACCGGCCCCACGAGGCCGGAGCTGGGAGAGACCGTTCCCAGAGCGGCTCCGGCGGAGGGCGGGACGAGGCCGGGCAGCGGCGACTGGCGCGGGCGCCCGCGGTGCCCCGGCAGTGCCGCGACCACGACACCGACCGACGCGAGCGCCCAAGGCAGAGCGGGCCGCGCTCGGAAACCACGACAAGGGACAAACGTACCCGCGCCTCGTTCACACGAGTTTGTGTTCAACGCTCCGCGGGGCCGGCGGGGGAGGACGCGGCGCTGGGGCTGCCCCGGAGCCGCGGGTACGTAGGGAGCGCACCCGAGCCTCACCCCTGGCCCGCCCCCGGGGCCCCGCGCTCCCCTCGGGGCCACCCCATCCCGCCCCCGGGGCTCAACACTCACCTGGGCGCGGAGCTTTCGCCATTTCAGGGCTGCCTGCTTTGCAGCCAAGCCGTTTTCAGCCGCGTCAGGTGCTCGCTCGCGGGGCGCTCCGGGCGCGCCCGCACTCCGCACTCCGCCGCCCCATCGGCTCTGCGGAGGCCCCGCGCCGCCCCCTCGCCTGCGGCGCTGAGAGACGCGGCCGAGAGACGCCGCCGCCGCCCGCCCGCCGCTGAAGGCGCAGCCGCCGTCGCTGAAGGCGCAGCGAGGGCTCGGCGGAGAGCGGGAGGACCGCGCCAGCGCGGGGACGGGGCTGCGCGGAAACGGCCCGCGGAGCGCGGCTGAAGGGTGCGAGCAGCGCCCTGGCCCGGAGGTCCTCGGGCGGGGGCTCCCCTGCCCTCAACCCCCACGACGCGGCCGCCGGGGAGGGGTCGGGGCTCCCTCGCCGTCTGAGCGCCCCTCGGAGCTGCGGGCGGGCAGAGGGCGGAGGAGCTGGACCCGCTCCCCGGTGCTCTCCGCACCGTGCCCGGCTCCCCTCCCCAGCTGCGCCACGGTGCCGGCGCCGCACGGCTCGGCCGCTGCTGCGGCACTGCCCTGGCAAGCTGCTCCTGCAAGTGGTTGCTCTGGAATTTAATAGCAAATATCCTTCGGTTGTTGCCAAGCCCCATGTCAGTGCGGTGGTTGAACTACTGCAACGCGCCGCCTTTTAAGTCAGCCATAGGCAAGCGGCTTACAGCCTGCTGAGAGCGGAACTAGGGAACTTACAGGGAACTTACAGGGGGAGACTCGATTCCTCCTTCTTCAAGAGCCCCCAGAAGCGGCATTCTCTAAGAGTAGAGAAGCCAGCTTCTCCAGATCCTCCAAGGATTGAAAGAAATTCGTCTTAAGAAACGTCTTAAGTCGCAGCCCATCTTGTGGGAACGATGGGAAGAGGCTGGCAGAGAGCCTACAAAGGCTTGTATGTTACTAGTGTGTCAGAGCACCACTTAGTAAAGTGCAGTGAACAAAAGTTTGGCCCAAAGAAGCCCACAATTAAAGAGCCAAGCAAACATAATGCAACCAAGTCCTAAAGCAACTTACAGGCTCAGTGCCAATACCAACTCGGTAGGTACAAAGATAAATACATGATTTGCTCGGGGTGTTGCTAAGCGTTCATTCAAGGAGCCAGAGCAAATACCCCTGAGAACACAGCGAGTTAAGTGGTTTTGTTTGAGCCTTAAGTGGAATAGCCACAATGCCCAAGAATTCCCACCCCCAAGCCAGCATACAAACTATGGCTGACCTTCCCCCAGCTCTGGGTGACAGTGCTATGTGCTGGACAGTTTGCCCTCAAGCCACATTGCCTCTGCTGTTGGACTTGCCTGTTTAGAAGATTTGATAAGGATGGCGTTTCCAAATGTGCTACAGTGTCACTAAGCCACCAAAGAAAGCAATCCTAGAGAAAGACCATGGGTATATAGAATCATAAAATGTGCTGAGTTGGAAGACACTCATCGGGATCATCAAGTCCAACTCCTGGCCCGGCACAGGACACCCCAATAATCCCACCATGTGCCTGACAGCACTGTCCAAACACTCCTTGAACGCAGGCTTGGTGCTGTGACCACTGCCCTGGGAAGCCTGTACCAGTGCTCGATCAGCCTCTGAGGGAAGAACATTTCCCTGATAACTAATCTAAATCTTCCCTGACTCAGCTTCATGTCATTTCCTTGACTCTGGTGACAGTACTGGCTTAGGGGAGAATGTCTGAGAGGCAGAGATGTGTTTGGACAAGTGCAGTAAGTTCCCTGCTCTGTGCTGCTTCCAACTGCAACAGCTCAGTACAAGCAGCTTCTGTCTTGTACAGATGTGACCTGCCCACCATACTCAGAGGTTCTTCATTAAACCCTTTTCAATTTACATCACAAAGAGCGAGGACTGCACACTACAAGATACATCCCAACTACCGTATTGAGATAATATTCAGCCTAAATGGCTCTTCTGCACTGGACTAGAGGCGGTGACTGAAAAAAAAGTCTTTCCATTGGCACAGCTGCCTGAGCAGGCAGTTACCTGCAGCCTCTGAAGGCAGTAAGCACCACAATGCCTCCCTCGAGAGGAAAAGGTTAATTTCCATTGTCCTGAATACTGAAAGCAGACAACTGCCAGTCCTTGACAACATATAGATCCAGAAATATTTTCTTTCTCCTAAAGACTTGCAAAAGCTTCACAGATTCCAACAAAATCCTTTCAGTACACAAAGGCACAGCTTTTTTCATGCATTACAGAGGACATGTAGAATTTCTTCAAGAGTCATCGCCAAATAATAATGTAAGAAAAATATACTAAGCCAGGTAATGGCTTGAACTGGAATGCATTTAAAGATATTTATACATCAAAGAACCTACTGAGAAAATAATCTAATTCCAAACACATTTACTCTTAATTGAAAACACATGCTGTTTTACTGGTGACCCAAGTTCTCTTCCTTACAATGGAGCAGACAAACTCCTCTCAAGACAAAGCCTCTGTCAAAGGATGCTCTGCATCATTGCTAGCTTTTCTGGTGTTGCAAGATGTCCAATTACAGAAATCAAACCTTGTACAAAACACTCCGAAAAAGATCAACAGAATAGGTAGCCAGTGCCTTGAGGCAGTGCAGAGCCACCTGAGGATGGGAGCTCAGAGAAAAATGATACCAACTGACACTAGTGCCCCCCTGAAAACATCTGCCCACCTAATGATCCAAACCTGCTCAAACTGGGCAGGGAGAGTTGCTCTAACTGCACAGGTCAGGG